CTTAGGATATTCAATGGATCTTACATGGTGACATTAAGGGTGCTCGCGATGATCCTCCTCAACAACACATTACGTGCACACTGCACCTGCACACCGCTACACCGCCTACACCGCTTCGTGCAGTCGATCTCTTAACGAGTGTCAAGTATATTATTATAGTTAAGTACAGTAAACAATATCTGCACATGTTCGTACCTAGTTGTGTATGTAGCGTTCGGCCACCGTAACTTAACAAATCTATTTCGCGTGGGTGTTGTGGACAATCACACAATTATAACGTCCATATTAATTACAACGTCCATGACTGGGCATGAAAAGGCTGGCTTTATGCACATCTGCTATTACAATAACTTTGGTTTGATAAACGTAAAAGAAAGGTAAAGTCGCGGCCGCTGCCCAGCGCTGGGCCACGCGTTGACCGTCACTTTTAAACTCCTCCAAATTAAAAAATAATTCTGAAGTTTTTTTAAATTTAAATAAAGAAGATTTTTTGTACACCAGTGTAAGAAAGTATTTGTAAAAATAGTATTTTTTTAAATTACGACGAGCGGCGAGCGAGGCTGGCAGTCAGTCGATAGGGAGCACAACGCCCAAGTGTCCACGGACAACACCTCAGTTTCCGCGAAGGTGGTCGTCGCGACGACTGTAAGCTATCCGAGTCGTCTAAAACAATAATTAATTAAGTTTTTAAGCTGATGCTGATGATGTTATTGATGCACCCACTCGGCAGACCATCGTGACCATCGTGATGTCCGCGGCGGCAGCAGCTGCCGGTGTGGGGCCTCGTAGTTTGATCGCATAGATTTTTTTTTAATGCATTGATGTGTGGTCGAGCTCACAGCCCATCTGGTGTTAAGTGATTACCGGAGCCCATAGACATCTACAACGTAAATACCGAACTGTTGGATATACTTGTACATTGACGAAGTTAAGAGGAACTAAGGGCTGCCGTCAGAACGAGATGAGCGTAGTGACATTGAACACACGTCCCGTCTCGTGGAGACGTTGTCACAAGCGGGAGGCTGGCATCGATCGCAGGTAGCGGGGCGTGACCGATCGATGCGCCCTCGTCACGCCTCGTGACGCCCCACTACCCCCCACCGCTACTCGCCCTCGCTCTACCCCTCGGCCTGCCCGCTCCTCGCGCCCCACGCCCCGCACCTCGCGCCCCTGAAGGCTGCGCTTCTCGGGGCTCCGGTTTTTATCCGGTTACTGACTTACATCCGGGTGAACGATCTTGATTATCGATATCGCGCACATATTACCGAGACGTCACCACGCCGCCGCGCCGCTGAGCAAGCCCAGTTTATACTAAAGATGAACCGGCTCGTGTATCCCTCGAGCTCATCTCACTTATTGTTAGTTTTAGGCCTTTAATATTATCCTATGTCCTTTATATTTAATAAAAACTAGCGGCCCGCCCTCGATTTGGTTAAGGGACTAGGTATAATTTATTATTGATTTTACTGAATTATCTTTTATACAAATCTGAACCTGAGAAAATGATGTAATATAAGATATTGTATAGCGAATTGTCTGTAGTGCCGCCATGAGGCTCTACCACGTGGCTCTCAAAATACTTGGTGAGCGCTGCCATTCCTCTATCAACTTTATTAAACACACTCACTTCTGGCTGCCTCTGGCAATTCATAGAGCTACGAATGTACTTTACGCCCTTTCAATTGATACACCGTTTCAATTGAAGCCTGCGAACTGCATCAGACACGTGTTGGTAAAAGGCCGTAGTTTTTCAATACCTATAGGTAGGACTTACCCTGAAAGTTGACATAAAATTTTCTTGAATAACTTTTGTTGCTCCAAATAACGTCATTTGAAAGCAATTATTGTATTTTTTTATTGCTTTGATAGGTGGACGATCTCACAGCCCACCTGGTGTTAAGTGGTTACTGGAGCCCATAGACATCTACACCGTAAATGCGCCACCCATCTTGAGATATAAGTTCTAAGGTCTGAAGTATAGTTACAACGGCTGCCCTACCCTTTAAACCGAAACGCATTACAGCTTCACGGCAGAAATAGGCGGGGTGGTGGTACCTACCCGCGCGGACTCACAAGAGGTCCTACCACCAGTAATGCTGGAGTATTGCTGGATATGAGTCAAAAAATGTTCAGAATCTGGCCGCTTGCACAATACCTTAACTGTAAATGCCTTGCAATATTGGCACACAACGTTCACTGGTCCGCACAGCCGCGACGCATTTGCTGTAAAGTATAACGATCCATGCAGCATGCATTCTGTCAATGTTATGTCAAACGCCATAAGGTTACATTAGAAAATCATTACAAAATTTAATATGGTGGTTATATACATATTCTTAAATTTTCTAATTTTGCGCACGATTTTCTTATATTTTTTTTCATAATAACCTTCTCCTGACAATAACAAACCCAACAAAAAAGAATTAGCGAAATCGGTCCAGCCGCTCACCCGTGATGCTGTGACCAAGGGAAATGTGATAGGTATATAAATACCGTACCGTACCGTACCGAACCGTATACTTGAGGTTGTACCGAAGTTTCGTATTTTGAAATATTGTTTGTTAATTGAGGTAATTAACAACATGAACTGCCTCCCACTAATGAATATTTACTCAACTTATACTCGCCTAAGGATACCTATGCACACGAAGGTAGTGTCAAGGGTTCATATAAAGGTCACCGTGACGTCACATGTACTCAGCAGCTTATAATCAGAAGTTTACTTACATTTTACATTGAAAAATTACTACAGTTTTTAATGAGATGCAATAAAAGCATATTTGGATTAGTAGATACGTACCCATGTGTGCCTATACGACTTTGTATACTCCAAATCCAAACAGGAATACAATGTTTACCCAGCCACCTCACTGCCGCGGCCGGGGACGACACGAGGAAAGCTCGAGCATGCTGGGTCCATACTCGAGGTTCCATAGGCTGCTAGCCTAGTATTTAATTTTAATCTATATCTCTACATCAAAGACAAAACTGTTAAATGACATTTTCTTGTCTGTTGATGAACCGATTTTCTTTGTTTTAGTTTTGATTAATAACTACCGAAACAATATTGAAAATACTTATTGTCCTCACTTCTACAAGAAAAACTATCTCAAACAAAAGATTTGGTTTCTAATGCATATCTGTATACACTGATACTAAATTTTAATCTATCTGTGTCTCTCCATGGTCGAATTACGATGATTGGACCTCTAAAAGGATCGACTTTCTGTTTACAATGTTGTTTTAAAGTTTCTTTAGTTCTACATCTAACTTACAATACTAACACAATATTTCAATGGGTTGAATATTAGCAATAACCCCATTGAGAGAGTATATGAGGCACGTAAGTTGGGTCTACTGATGGACGCAGATCTCCGGTTTAAGAAGCATGTCACTGAGATGGTCCGCCATTGCTTCTGTCGGTTGAAGGTCCTGTACCGCATTCGCAATTATCTCACTGAAAGACTTTGGATTCAACTCGTTGAGACACTGATCCTCTCGAAACTGAACTATGCGGACGTGGTATACGGATCCAGATTACTTACATGAACTGGGCGCATATTAAAGAGAGTACAGAATGCATGTATGAGGTTTTGCTTTAAATTTGGGAACAATATTCCTTCACCTATCCGGCACCAGAGAAGGCTAAGGTCTTTTAAAGCAAATTTAAAACTATATCGTTAGAATATACAAGTAGAATTCAAAAATATCAAATATAATGATTCCGTACAATAATTGTGCATTGCGACTGCAGTTTTTTATTTAATTAATTTAATATATTTCATTTTGTTGTCCTTTTGGTATCATTTTTTTTTTATTCTTGTTTTTTTTTTATATTTTACATTGTTGTGTAGGTACTTGTGTTTGTTTAAATCTAGCTTCCTTAACAAAGTATAACGTGTACCACTTTTAAAAAGAAAAGTAATAATTTGCTGAACTCATACTCAAGTAGGTACATAACGATGGGTCGGTCTGATGCTGGTGTGCGCGTCACAGGCAGGTGCCGGCGGAAGATCAGCGCCGCAGTACCGATTGTCTCGTTACTGTTAGGGATTGCTGAGTCGGTAACCGTTTCCAAGCCTCGTTATTTTTCTTATTTTTGTTTTCATTTTTTGTACCTAATTTATGTTTGGAATAAATGTTTATTATTATTATTATATTATAAATACACCAGAGAGCTACCGCAGACGAGCACTGCGTCACGCCTTGAGGAGCGCGTTCCTCGTCAGTCAGTCAGTCAGTCAGTCAGTCAGTCAGTCAGTTGTATTTAAATTAGAAAGGTCGTTGAGCAGCCTTCGTATCGTTAAAACATATTTGATTGACACAATCGGCTACTGTTTTCTTTCGCAATAACAATTTCTACAGCTCGTTGTGTGGTGGTCTGTGGAAACGCCTCGACGCCTCCTCGGCGAGTGAGCCACGGACCGTCGCTGCGTCTCTAGCTGACTTCATTCTGTCGAGATATATTCTACACCATTTTTGTTCACGAAACCAGTAATACAAATCGTTCATGTCCCGGGAACGTACACTGGACGTCGCAGTCTCAAGACAAGCATGCACTCGCACGCTACACGCTACCACCACGCACAGATTGGTCTACAACATGTCAGATACGTGCTATGTGAATACTCAACATCAGCACGGAGCGTTTGCTTGCGTGTGTCTAGTACTGCTCAAATCGGATCTTCCTGTCGAGATTAGTGTTATGATCTTCCCAATATACCTATACACGTTATCATTATATGTATTATCTATAGCGACATATTAAATCCCGTTGTTTAAGTCCCAAGTTCGAGGTTGGGCGCCGGACTTGAAACATTGAGCCTCTGACAGTCCGTTCGCATTGTATTTGTATCGCTAATGGTATGGGAGACTGTTGTGGTTGATGAAGTTGAGGTCGAGGGTATGCCTAGGGATACACAAGCTGATATAACTGTGAAGGTGTAATTACAAGCACTAGTACGTATGGCGTGAGTAATGTGTGCGTGTGTCGGGCGCAGGTCACGGCGGAGTGAACCAGCTGGGCGGCGTGTTCGTGAACGGGCGGCCGCTGCCGGACGTGGTGCGCCAGCGCATCGTGGAGCTGGCCCACAGCGGCGTGCGGCCCTGCGACATCAGCCGCCAGCTGCGCGTCTCGCACGGATGTGTCTCCAAGATACTCTCCAGGTAACGATCTACACATCATTAGTGGTGGTAGGACCTATTGTGAGTCCGCACGGGTAGGTACCACTGCTCTGCCTATTTCTGCCGCGAAGCAGTAACGCGCTTCGGTTTGAAGGGCGGGGTAGCCGTTGTAACTACACTGAGACCTTAGGACTGATATCTCAAGGTGGGTGGCGCATTTACGTTATAGATTTATATGGGCTCTAGTAACCACTTGACACCAGGTAGGCTGTGAGCTCGTCCACCCATCTAAGCTATAAAAAAAACGTAAGGCCGTGTTGGTCGTGAGTTCACCTGTCCACGTGGATGGAGTAGCTATAAACAAATCGCGACTTTGCTGTATGTAGGTAGGTACGTGACAAGTGCTCCGTAATGACGTGTGCCTAAGGCTAGGGGTGGTGTGGTGGAAGAGCATCGCCAGGCGGCGGAGGGCTCGACGCGACGCTCAGAGATGTGTTAGAGTTATACAGAGAATAATTTGTTTCTAAACAAAACTGTAGATACTGTAAAATGTAAGGTCTTAGTGCGGTCAATAGACGTGGTCTGTAGCGGTATAACGTTGATCCAACCGTCAGAAGCGGAAGCTGTGTCGTTGACGTCCTAGCGTTCTGCTGTTGACGTTACGACAGTTGGCAGGTAGACCGCGACCCTGTGGAGCGCGCGGCACGGTCTGTCATCATTCCCGATCCTGCGGATTCATTCCCGATCCTGCGGACAGAATGGAAAGCAGTCGACGTCGCCCAAAACACGTCATCTCGGATCCTCCCGATCCACTAACGGTGCTTCTAGGTCACCATTCTCGTCGAACCCGTCGCTTGCGACGAAGGGCTCGACGAGTAAATTAACTCTCAGACACAGCCCACTGAGTTTCTCGCCGGATCTTCTCAGTGGGTCGCGTTTCCGATCCGGTGGTAGATTCTGCGAAGCACGGCTTCTTGCTAGGGTTCGTGTTAGCAACGTCATCAGTTTTGAGCCCCGTGAGCTCACCTACAAAAGTTAGGGTTACGCTGAAATAGCCTCTCAAGGCTCTCAGCTTAAGTAGGAAAAAAAAAAAAGAAAAAAAAGTCTTTCATGTATATGTATTACAAAATCTTTATTCAAAGCCCCTTCTACTTCTGTGTCTGATACGCAACGCGACGCAAGACACATCTCAACTCGTCCGTCGCGCTGGCGATCGTTCAGTTCGTGCGGCAAGCACGTATCAGTTGCTCTTACCCTGACAATTTGACACAAATGAACCGATATTGTTTTGATGTTAATGTTGAGAGCTGCTGTCAGCTCAGCGGTAGGTACATTGAGTATCGTCAGCTCCACTACTCCCTGCACTACTGTTGCCTTTAATTCGTCGTTGTTGACTGTCGTTTTCGGGCGATCACGGGGTTCATTTTTGATATAAAATTTCCATGTCGGAAGCGTCGTATTTTTATCGTGTCCAAATTTGTAAAAAAATATAAAAACCGTAGTAGAATCAAAACACTGATCAATAAAGATATGACTTAATTTTAAAATAATAATAAAATTAATTTGAATTTAGAATTTGTCGCCAGTCATATCTAAAGCAAGTTTCAAACGGCCAGCATCAAAACACTTTTTGCACTTATTGTAATAGCTGCTCATTTCGCGACCCATTATCGTTTATAAGTACCTAGTCGCTGTAGGAACTACTTGTGCGCTCCTGTACACAGGCCTGTAGTATCTACCACAAAGTAATGCTGATATCCCAAAACATGTAATCGTATGGGCGCGATCTCCGGGTGCCGCGGCCCGCGGTCGCAATCACTCCCCTTGCTGTTTATTTGCGACCAACTCTAAAAATATTATAAAAGTATACAATTCAATTAGAATATGATCCACAATGCGTTTATAGACAATAGGCAGCCACACGAAGCAGAGACCAGAGACACGAGCACTGAATGCGCGCGGCCATCCGCTATTGTTTGTTTTAAATTGAAACTGATCCGCAGGGACGTGCCGAGTCCGAGCCTCGAGCTGAGGGACTCCGGACTCCCGAGACGAGTCATTATCAACTGTTCATGTGCCCTTTTACAAAACGGAATTAAGTTAAAGTTCTAAAAAAGCGCTTGTAAATAATGAGTCAATTTAGAGAGGATCTTGAGAATCGCAGCACGCAGCACACGTCGTCCCAGGGCCGCGCCCACGTGAGGTGCTTCCACTCAATACGTAATTTACAAGTTCTTCGCGCATCACGATGTGTCTCTCTCTGCTCATAGAAGAGTCATTCCGAGAAGGTTCGTGTAGGCCCGCGTGGCGCGTCGCGTGGAGTGCGCGCTGGTGTGGGTGGGAGAGTCCCGCGCGCCGGTCCGGTCCCGCGGGAGTCCGGCCTCGCTACATCACTCGCTCCGGTTTTCAATTTACTCGTGTGTTGTTTTGATTTTTGCATTTGTTTTGTACTCTGCGATGATTGCCGCCGAGTGGATTGGACGTTCGTGTCGTATATTTAATGACGCACATTAAGTATCACATTTACAGCAATTCACTGTACAAAAAAATGCTTTTTTAAATCAAAGCCTATTCTTATTTAAATAATTAAACAGAACCAACCGAATCAACTCGCACAAATTGAACTCCGTACAGTAAGTGGGAGTATCTACACAACCTGTCCCAAGTCAGCCAGCACACCGCTTACAGTTAGCCGCGCCCGGTGATGTCCCGCGTCCGACACGAGCGCACCGTGGCTCATACATAATCAGTAGTTTTGTGAGTCGCGAGCAGAAAGCGTGACGCTTCCGGCCGCGGCTCGGACGTCTGCCTTATATAAACTGTAATGGGGAAATTGTGCTCTTTTATATGTTATGTAGCTACGTTCATGTTCACTTGTAGCATTTCGCTCCTGAATTATCAAATTCCGATTTACTTCCAAGTTTACTGGAGATATATCGATACTGCGTCCGACTGAAGCGGCCGAGCACACACTAGCCAGTTCGATAACTGACTTCATAAAGATCCGCCACTACCCATGCTGTATATCGTATGTACTCTGTACGCTATATTATCCTTATTTGAAGTATTTATGATCTAAGAAAACCCAAAATATTGACAAATTAATCCTCTTACGACAAACGCACTTATCGCAGCCCTAATGTACCCTCGACAAAGACATCACTCAGCAGCCAATAAATTTATACAAGCGTACAGTATCGGAGCATATTGGCGATCAAGATAACCGGCTCGCACCGGCTCGGAGTGGCTCAGAGCGGCTCGGAGCGGATTACACCGGCTCGGGGCGGCCTCGCTCGCCGCATCACGCCCTTGTATCCAGTAATTAGTTTACGATCTGCGAAATTGAGACACAATCGATGACAAGCACTCACTTACAGTAGGCAAGCGAATCGAATGATGATCGTCGGAAGGTTCGATCGTGCTCCCTCATGTCGTTGTGTAGCTCAGCCCTGTAGTCGTCATGAAATAGAAATGGACGCATGAACAGAAAGCTTAGATTTTATACTTAATAAATTCATTTAAAAACAATCGACAACAAATGGTGAAACAAACGGTAGAGTAGAGTTGCGAAGGGCGACCGCTTCTAATCGAATTGTCATAATACCAACCCATTATTTTATAGAGTCGGTAGGAAATTAAATTTTCGTAAACATAATGCCACGTCCCCCGGGACTCCGCTCCGAGAGCCGTCGATGGTCAATCTGGGAATAGCGAGGGCTCGGCGCTGCGAGGGGCCCGCCGCCGCTCTGACTCTCTCATTCTGTGCTACACTGTTCACAGCAGTTCGATTACTAATGAATCACTGCAGTGCGTTTGTTATTAATATGTTGCTTGCAGTATTCATCTCAGTCGGTGCAGTAATGACACGTCTCTCTGTTTATTTAAAGTTTACATATAATCATTTCCTGTTCTTTGAAAATTTTTATAACATCCGCTTGGAATAATATTCTTGATTTCATTAGAAATCCTCACAATCGGCACCATCCAAGATTAGTCGAGATTAGTTCGCAAGTGATCGTAATGAATACAACAGAAGAGTATAATTTTATTATAAATGGATCGGCAATGATGCGGGGGCGCGGTGCGGGGCGGTGTGTTACAGGTGTAGGACCGCAGAACTGTGTCGCTTTCTGCTTTAGGTGCTTAGGTACAAAGACGAGCTGACAGTCCACCTGGTGGCGAGTGACTACAGGATCTCATAGATATCATGTAACGACTGTCTCAGGCCGGCGCCGCGCCGCTCTGTGGCAGAGCGAGGCACGCTGGTCGGCGCGGGCTACCGGGTCACTAGCACTGCACCACGCTGCGATGCTTTATAATTATATACTTAGTCTGGTCATAAATACTGTTACAATTAAAAATAAACAAAAATCTATTGCAAATAACATTTATTACTTTTACAGTGTGTTAGTTTAATACATAAATATAAAACAATTTAAAGTATAAAAAGCTTATTCAAAGTGGTCTCCATTGGCTGCAATACAGTCCTTTAAACGTTGAGGCCAGTTATCAATAGAAGCATGCACTCTTTCCATGGGAAAATTTTTCACTGCCAATCGTACGGATTGTTTTAGGGACTCCAAATTATCATGGCGTTTAGAGCAAGCCGTACTCTCTAAAACTGATCATAAATCATAATCCAGCGGATTAAGATCGGGACTAGACGACGGCCAGTCTTCAGCTCTGAGGAGGTCCGAAACGCTCGTTTCCAACCAAGACTGCGTAGACCGAGCTTTATGACCTGGCGCCGAGTCTTGCTGGAAGGACCATTCTTGATTATTGAACATGGTGTTGTTAAGGGGCTTCACTACCTTCTCAAGAATGGTATCTTGATACACTTGTGCCGATGTTTTGATATGTTTTTCACAAAAGTATGGCTCACTCACTCCTTCATAGCTAATACCCCACCAAACCATCACTGAAGTCGGATAGTGCCCACGTTGCACTCTGTCGACTAATTGGGAAGCTTCCATAAAGCTTTGAGCATAAATACGGTCATGTTGCTCAATTGTAAAAATTTTCTCATCCGTAAGCAAATTTTTTCTATAACCTCCCTTTGCGTACCGCTTCAGTAGTTGTTTCGATTTTACCACCCTATTCTCTTTTAAATTATTAGTTAAGAAATGACCAGTACGTCTCTTACAGGCTGCAAGTCCTAAGTCATCTTTTAAAATACGCGGCATGGTTATAGGTGCTATCTTCATCTCCCGAGATAAAATCTTTTGCTTTCGGACAGGATTTCTTCGAATTCTTTCCCTTACTGCTTTGACCACCTTTTTCATACGAACACTACGTGGACGGCCAGATCTTTTTCTGTCACAAACAGAGGAGGTCTCATTGCACCTATTAATAGCCCGGTACACAAACATTTTACTAATACCAAGCGTATGGAGAGTTTTAAAAATTGCATTTGGCTCCATACCTACTTTGTGTAATGCAATCACAGCAATTCGGTTCTCTTTATCACCCCACTCCATTTTAATATCGCAAAATATTGTACAATGTATTGGCGCCGTAATGAGAAAACTCAATGAGCGATCATATAAAAATGACAGATTCCAAATTCAAATGTAATATTTTGTTTATTTTTAATTGTAACAGTATTTATGGCCAGACTTATTTATATGTATTAAACTAACACACTGAAAAATTAATAAGTGTTATGTTATTTGCAATAGAGTTTTTTTTTCCTTAGTCTCAGTATTTATAGCAAGACAACAGTCTTGTTGCGATTTACTTAAATTCAGATTATACGTACCTACATATTCTACCCGTGCGACGTGGAGGAGGCTGAGTCGTCACTGATGCACATAGATGTGATGGAATCATCACTGTGATGGTTACTTTTATGCTGCTAAGCCCTACGTTATATATGAATTTAATTTTATACAATTTTTCATAATTCATTTCGTAAGGGTAAATTTCGTAAATAAAACTTCATACATTCGATTCAATAAAAAGCAATATTATAAGCTCATTTGTTGCTTAGTGTAGAGTACAAGGGTGAGAGGGGTAGCGCGTCCGCAGGGAGAGTCGCAAACATTATCTTAATGTCACCGGCCGAGGGTCCCGCGCACCGTCGCCCTGATTCCACACTCTGCGGCACTGCGCTACATGCAGAGAGCATTTTTTGTCGATTATAAGTTTGGATTCTTTAATATGAACTTGGATACAGACTAAAGGTACAAGTCAGATAGTCAGTGACCTCATACGTCTCATTGTCCAAAATGATTGCAGTACATATTCTAAGGAGTGAGGAATGTGACTGCGACTGGGCTGTGCGCTGCGTCGGATGGGAGTCCTCAGTCCTGTAGTGTGGGTCTTGGCGCAGGTACTACGAGACGGGCAGCTTCAAGGCCGGCGTGATCGGCGGCTCCAAGCCGAAGGTGGCGACGCCGCCGGTGGTGGACGCCATCGCGGCCTACAAACGCGAGAACCCAACCATGTTCGCGTGGGAGATCCGCGACCGACTCCTCAGCGAAGGCATCTGCAGCCAGGACAACGTGCCTTCCGTCTCCAGCATTAACAGGTAACACGAATACTGTAATACTGTTCATCAATCTCACCCAAACCTTATCTTGAGACTAAAGGTCGCCGTTTTGATCGCCGGACAAGTTCAATAACTGGAATTTTACTGTATAAGTACAAGTAGCATGCAATATACTCACTATATGTACTATATATATATATATATATATATATATTGTATGCTACTTGCTACTTGTATATATTTACGTACTCCTACAGCGGCGGGCGGCTTCACTCAATTCTGTCCGTGGGCTCTTGTAGCCACTTAACCAGACGCGATGTAAGCTCGCAATGCCTATATTTATATATAAAACAAAGGACATAAATTTATAAGCTGCCAATAAAATAAACTAAATAATATGGTTTAATACTATGGAGAAAATAAAAACATAAATGTGACAGAAGAATCATCTTCCCCGCTCTATTATAGTGTAGAGTCGAGTACGGTATTGTTCTCTATGTGAGTATTAAGTAGTTTCTGACAATAAGCTCGCACTCAAATCAACTGAAATGTATTGCGCACAAACTTATATTATTTGTGATCAAGGAACAGGTACGGTTTGTTCAAATATTATCCTTAAGCTGTTTATGTAACGTACAAAGTCAGTCGGAAGACGTCGCTGAGCGAAGGACTGACTAACTTTCGAGCCATGAAAACTACGACGCAACCAGCACTCTCTGATTGTGCGCCAACTGAACATCGCACATAGCGGCTCATTACAGCGCCGCCAGTACAGCAGGCAGCAGGAGGGCGGGAGACGGTGCGAGATAGCGAAGGCCTAGTTGCTTTGGATGCGGTTTCGGAGCTCATCAGAAAGTGAAGGCTGTTGCCAAACCTGAGACATGAGATCAAAATCTCATTTCTTTTTGTTCTAACGTTCTATTGTTCGAACTTTAAAACCACAATGCACGTTGTCTTCCCGGTATAGAGAGGCAGGCCACGAATACCCATCCGTGCAGGATCACAATCCTCCCACCGCTACTCATGAAATAGTACTATGTATATAATACAACAATAAGATGAAGTATCCGCCAACTCGATGGCCCCGCAAGGGGTTGCGTGTCGGAACGAAACGCTCTCACCGGAAGTGATGCGAGCGGGAGCCAAGATGGCGGCTCCGGAAGTAGAGACACGTGCTTCTCTTGCGCCGGACGTCCTGACCTGAACCATTCGATTATTATTTCTCGACAATAAAACTGAATATAAACCAACCATTCTATAGTCGATCTGAACATGATATCTCGATTATCGTAATGATTCTCGTTCTGAGGTCGGCGGCCATGGAGGGAAGCCGTTACGGTCGCCTCACCGCGCATCACTCTCATCCAGATCTCAAACTGTACTTGTCTTGTAATTCAATATTTCTTATGCAAGCTGAAGACTTAATTAGCAGGTCTCATCACGTCGAGATTGCAGTCGTGATGACAGCAAACCCCCCTCCCCCCCCCCGCGCTACGCAATGATCATGATTATATCTTATCGGTGACGAACAATTTCCTGGCAATTATCAAATAATGGCGAGCATCTGATAGCGCTCACCCTAAAACTAATAACCGGTAACATTCGATGATAAGCGGTCGACACGCGGCTCTGTAGTAATAAGCACAGAGTCTACTTGTGTTATCTAATCGGATAACACGCGTAATTAGATGCGTGGATTTGTGTGAGCTGGCAACACTTGAGCTCGAGTGCTGGACCGCAAACGTTATTATTGCTAATAAGCGACGTATCTCTCTTTATTTACGGTTTAGTGAATAGATTAGATCAGAATATAGTTGAGCGGTTAATTGCATCGGGTCGCGGGCCCCGCGGCTCCACTCGATGTAATCGATATTCTACTCGACAAGAAATTGCAGCTCAATATGTAGGTATAACTAAAATCATTCACTTCTACACTATTCTAGAGCTTACCGGTGTCAATGATATTTATGTCTCAATTCTATCTGACGTGCCGCACTCGGTTTTAAACTAATTCCTGATTAGCTACCCGTTATGTGCTACTTGAAGCCGAACCGAAGCTTGTAGTCAACAGTAGGTAGCAGCTCCACCGTGGTACGTCGGTAAAGTAGCTGGGACTCCGCAAGGGAGCGAAATTCTACATAAGCTTATCCTCACTCAGAGTACCGCTCTCGGCGCAGGAGTTCCCAATCACCAATCACCAGCTATTACCGAGAACCGTCCGAATTATTGATAATCTCGTTCTCGCGGATTCTTCGCACTCTCTGGATTTACGAAAGAACTTCACTTTTTGTATCGCATATGACGTGGGGAGTGCTGTGAAAAACTATTCGAGAATATTCCTTTTATCATCATTCAGACATTCACCACAAGATATTTGCCTGAATTTTGCTAACAGCTTTTCAAGACAGTTTTGTATATACATTTGCATTTACTGGTGGTAGGACCTCTAGTGAGTACGCACGGGCAGGTACCACCGCCCTACCTATTTCTGCCGTGAAGCAGTAACGCGTTTCGGTTTGAAGGGTGGAGCAGTCGTCGTAACTATACTTAAGACCCCAAAAGCTCTTCAGAACTTGTAAATATATTTTTTTATTGCGTAGATGATAGATATTGGGTGGACGAGCCCATAGAAATCAACAACGTAAATACGCCACCCACCTTGAGATATAAGTTTTGGAACTTATATACAAGTTCTGAAGAGCCAATTCGGAAAAGTCATCCAACGTTAACGCCACAAATTGAAGTCATGTTTCTAAATCATCAAATGAACTGTGTTCCAATGTGAAAAATACCAAAGCACGAAAAGTTAATTTTAAGCTCATTCCATAGTAAGCTCGCTGGGGAGGCCGTCTCGTACACGTGTCCGACACGTGACCAGCACGTGTCTGTTGCGGAACTCGCAAATGTGGTCGCATGACGACCAAATAGAAACCTATTTGACTGGAAGTGAGAACTTCGGGTAACACACTTAGAAAATACAAGGGTAACGTTTAGAGTCGATCTCACTCGAGCTTACATCGAGCTTACTCTCACGGTCAGTCATTGTAGAGCCATGACACTTGTGATGCACGCGCCTAGCAAATATTAAATGTTGATTGTTTTACGAGTAATACGTGGCAACTGTACGTAGCACCAGCCGCCTCATCACCCCGTGCGTCATCAGCAGGGTTGTGCCGCCCCGCACCCTGGCCGACGATATCAAAATTAAATCATCAAATGACAGTAATAGCGCTGTGACACCATTTTATTATATTTATAAGTGCGCCCGCGATATATCTCATCAAAATGTAAATTAAACTTGAAAATAAAAGCTCAGCGCAAACCGAACAATAACAGTAAAGTGGCTGCGAAATAAAAAAGCTCTGAGCGGCGCGCTGTCAAGATATTTTAATCGAGTCGACGCCGCCGTAATTGAAGCCATAACTCTGTCCACCCTGCTCGCACACAGGCACACGCCGCGCGCACACACACACACACACACACACACAGTGAATCATTTGTCTGAGCGAATTATAAGTTAGGTTCGATTATATTATTAGAGGGGAAATGTTTCGGAGCCCCGGCCTCCGGTGCCGTGCCGCCGCCGGGTGCGCCGGCCTCGCACCGCGGGACCTACACACACTATACGAGCAGAGACTAGCTTTACACCGGTGACACTGACGGAACACTTCCTTGTTATGCTGATTATATTATTATATGATGCCGTTATGTATTGAAGCATCGCCCTCTAGTCCGTCTCTAGTCATTGCGTTAGTCGAAACATAACCTACCTTAAATACATTTTAGTCCCGCGCTACCAAAATCTCTTAACAATAGAAACACAACAAATATTTTTTTCCGTGGGTAATTCACTTTCCCATAAAGTATAAATAAATGTAATAAATGTAATAAATTCAGGCGCTATTTATCAAGTAGAGTGGTCGCCGTCAGACTCGAACCTTGTACCGCCGGAGCAGAGCGCGGGACCCGGTAACCCTTCCCGCCGGAAACGGATATCATAACCGAGCTCTTCGCGGATTGTTGCCGGGAATTTTGCATTTTTGCCGAATAATGCCGACGAATACCGGAAGCTCGACATGATGGACTGCTATAATAATATAGCTCCGAAGTCTCCCGCGACCGCCAGTAATACAGCACGCTATATCCGCTCCTAGCTTTCGTCTTTTTAAATAATGAATATATTGAAAGACAACTTTAATAGAATGTTTGCAACAAACTATGTTTCTCATTCTCAGAACAGTGACATGAAGAGTTCCGCCGGTCCCCCGCGAGTACAGAATCACATTTATTTTCAAAAACCCCGTCCATCAATCACACGCGAGGGTGGCGCAGGGGCCGACTGATTACTCTATTACGGTGTAATGCGACCTTTGATAAGTTTACGAAACAATTTTTGCATATGTCAAGTGTGAGCGCTCCGACGATAGTTCGTCGCGAGGACGCGGCGCCGCCCATACATCATGCCGGGGAATTAACTGTCACCCGCCCCCGCCCCCGCCCCGCCGCGCCCGTACCCGGCCCGGGTTCAGTACCGGCGCGGTGACCGAAATCAGATCGAGTGGTTCACGAGCAGAGTGTAAAGCGGTCCTTGGTTATTTTCTCACTTAGATTCATATCGTCAGAGAATTACTCAATTAGAGGCAATGACATGAATAATCCATTACTAGGACCCTAAAAAAACTGTAAACTCATCAATAAAGAACGTTTCCCCGGCCCGGGACCGGCCAGCGACCGACACGCGACCCGACATCCTTCTGCACTAGACTGAGCGACGGCGACGCGACGCCGCGATTAGTCTCGCTCCGGGACCGCAGCGTCTCCTCGCACGCGACTCCATCCAGGACTCTCATTGTGTACCACCGTGGCCGATATCCTCATCAACAATATTCAAGAAATAATTGAACCAATTTTTTTTTTATCATAAGATTTATTTCTTAAAGTTTTGGTTGCATATTTTTCCGGATCACTGGATCTAAGCGATTATTGAAATGACTCGCGCGCCACCTGTTGCTCGTTGTCGGTACTAAGTCAGAAATCGTTAGGTAGTTCTTTTTTAAGAACAAAGGACCAAACTTCACATGTAATATTTTTATTTTTATAATAATTGAGAAGGAGTACTAAGGAGACGTTGTCCGCAGGATCGTCCGCAACAAGGCCGCGGAGAAGGCGAAGCACGCGCACAACCAGCAGCAGCAGCAGCAGCAGGAGCAGGAGATCTCCTCCGCGCAGGGCAGCGTCGTCTCTGTGAGTGTCGCCCACGTTTAGGCCGCGCAGCATGTCAGACAGCTTGCTGGGCTATACACATATATAAGTGAAACCGTACGGAGTCTTATCCCACCACTAGTGTCCAACTATGCCGCTCTATGCCAACACAGCTCATTGGCTATCATCAATTCAGTTTTTGACCAATGTTCCACTGCATTATATATAATAATATGTTTTTATATTATTATATATAATGATATATTCACGAGACAAGAAATAATCCCGAGCCTCCTCCGTATGCACAGGTGATAACGCACGCGGGCAGCGGCGGCGCCGGGACCGGGGAGCCGCCCGCCAGCTACAGCATCAACGGCATCCTGGGCATCGAGCACGTGGACGCGCTGCCCCCCGCACCCGCCGCGCCCCCCGCACTCAAGCGGAAGCGCCATGAGGACCAGGGTTAGTGCCGCACCCTCACTCAGCACACACACGGACTGCGCTGAGCATCACATCGATATGTTATGTTATAAGTAATAGTCTCACATCAAGGGCTTCCGATCGGGGGAAGATCGTACATTTGTATCCAAAGCGCGCACCTCCATATTCTTATTTCTAAGGATTCGTACTCTGAAATTATCATAGAACAAGAATATATATTATGTCAGTACAATATTATCTGTCAGAACTGTAGGAAAGTAATTAAAAGTTTTTAGAAGATTAAAATCGACATACAGAAGTTAAGTGACTAAAGATAGTAATAAACTGTAATATAAATTTATAATTATATATTATAATATTATTATAAATGAATAAAAATCTGTTTTCCAAATGAACATTTTACCGAATACTACACATCGATAGTGTTGGCGACATGTAGAGCAGTAGAGCATGTAGAGCATGCAGGAACTGATGGCCGGTGCTGACCGTGGTTACTCCGGGACTACACAACGTTGATCCAGGTTAACACATCGAGACTACAATAAGTCGGTTTACAGGCAAACAGAAACACTCGTTCACAACATAATTGTACGTTATACATCATTATAATATCGTACACAAGCACGCAGCCGTGGTTCCATTCGAACTTCCGACCTCCACATGCCGATGATCGCCAGCTCCAAGTTCGTCTCAATACATCCCTGAATCGGTGGAGACTACACCACACTTGTGGAGACTATGTACTGGTCGGGCACGCACAGACTACGGGAGGTGCGCGTTGTACGCGTGATCTCCAGGAGCGCGGGAGGGAGACCGGGTAGGAGAGGTGGGGGGGCGCCCGCGGACCGCGTCCGTTCGGATCTACTGATCTATTAACTTTACGGAAACGTACATTATAACTTCCTACAACTTTACACATTTAGAACAAACTCCAGCAGCGCCGGAGCTTAGGGGCTTACACTCTTTAACTTTCCCATCTTATGTAACATTATAATTACTTACATATTTACTATCTATTGTTCATTCAAATGCTAAATGCCAAATTTGTTTGATCTTCAGCTCACGTGCGTTCGTCAGTACAGTACAGTACAGTACAGTACAACAACAATATACTAAACGTGAATAAGATTTGTTAAAATCCTTGAATGTTGTGTGACGTGCAGCTGCGCCCTTTGTTACAGATGAGAACCGGGACTTCAACAGTCACTCGGAGGACGACATCAAGCGACAGAGAGGACACTACAATGGAGATCAGATATACTCCAACGTGAGTATAGACGACTCTACAATACTCTCATTTCTATGTCTGCTCGGGACACTCCAAGTACCGACATATTAAATTATTCAGTTAACTAAATACTAATTATTATGACATGTTGTCATTTACACAGTAGATGTTAATAATGTTAATAAGTTTTATTACAGAAGTGAGTACAATAAACCGAAATAGCACAAACTCGTTCCCGATAGAGTAACGCGTCGAAACTGAACGAATCATTAGCTTTATCTCCACGATTCATTGTACAAACAATTACAATTATCAGTTCCTCGTTAGCGCGCGGCTCAGCTGAGCCCGGCTCAGTTCCGCTCGGCTCGGTTCAGATCAGTCGTACCCCGCCGTGAATAGCTGCGTAAATTCAGTCGCAATCTTGTTGTTACAAATGGCGGCGGTCGGGTGCTAATGACGTCACATCCGGATGCCATTATACCTTACTTATTGGGACCGCACACCTGAATATGTACATAGGTACATATGTGCAGCCATACCTACTGTAATACTTGAAATGAACAAACTTACATAATGGAGGTCGCGACGATGTCGTTAGGTGAGGTCTCGGTACGCGAGTACATGTGCGCGTGTTGCAGCTCTGGTCGTCGTCCAAGTGGAGCCTGAAGGACGAGTACAAGCTGCTGTCGGAGCTGTCCGGGGGCGCGGGCGGCTACTACCCCGAGCTGTTCGAGCCGTACGAGCACGCGCCCCCCGCCGCGCACCCCGCGCACCCCGCACACCCCGCACACCCCGCACACCTCGCGCACCACGCAGGTAACAACCACACTACATGCCCAGCATCCACAGATCCACTCATTACTAATTAAGAAAATGTTTGGTTTGACGCAAATTTTGGCATTTTTGTCTTTTCTAAAAAATACTTTATTTTAAAACAAATATCGGTCACTTTTGACACTATGATGGTTAAAATCTAGTACGAGTAGTATAAGTATGTATTATATTTGCCCTCTGATGTAAACTAATGAAGAAAACATAGAAGAATTGGCAGCAACTTCCTTTGAACACGGCACCAGCATATTACGATCATCAGTTGGCAGCTACCAGTGGTAGGAGCGTTCGGATAGATAGTTTCAGGGTTCCAGCTTGGTTGGTTGGTTGGTTGGTTGGGCAGGCAGTATATAAAGTTGTTAACATTTCGACCTCATGCCCCATGATGGGTACCGAGATACCCATTAAAATCAAGCGAGGGGAAATTTCTTTAAAGTAAAAAACTTGTAATGAATAACGTATTTATTTGGATAGGGAATATCTTCATAACAAACATTCACAAATAATGCTGTATTTTAGAACAAATTTGGTTAGAATATAAATAGTGAGCCAACTTTAAAATATAGACATATGCTGCCGCAAACTTTTTTTAGGGCTTTTAAAGGGGAACAATTTTAATTTTGTTTTACAATATTTTAGCGAAACTTTAACCGGTTCCGCAGTGCATGCAGTAGAAGCTCTCAAAAGGGAAAAAACCCCGTTTTTGAAACATTATTTATTGGTGCTCCGTTTGGAATGGGTCTTAGCGTGATGTTATATAGCCTATAGCCTTCCTCGATAAATGAAATATCTGACATTGAAATAATTGTTCAAATCGGACCAGTACCTAGTTCTTGAGATTAGCGCGTTCAAACAAACAAACACTTCTGCTTTATAATATTAGTATAGATAAACAGAGTAAGACAAAGAGGGAGAGAGAAAGTCGCAAGGCGGTGGCATAACGCATCTTTCCCAACGTGATGACTTCCCTTCTCTTAGTCAACTCATCCTGCAAACCACGTCAAGGAGCTCTGCTGTAATAGCTAAATCACATGAAGATAAATAGACCCAGCTCGTGATTTCGATTTAGACATGCAACAACCATCGCATTGATGAAGTAAACATCGTGACGAGATAGCGGCTCCGCGGTCGCGTCCCGCCTGGATGTGGCCCGCGACCCGCGCCTGCAGTAACTGTACACAGGCAGCAGACCGCGCCGCGCGTACCGGCCGCACTCCGCACTCCGCACTCCACTGTAACCACGCAACACGCCAACCATTATTCTATAATGACTTATCAACTTATAAATGCCGAGTATAGCTTCTGAATAGTACCGAATGGTAGAGAGCCCGTGCTGAAATAATTACTTCGGCAATCTATAGAGAACTTAAAACGAAAATATATATTGTTACAGTTGAAGTATACTGAAGAGCATAATTATTATTAATCAGTGCAGAAAGCATAATAGACAATAGTAATTGTGTAGAGTCGTGTAGAGTTGTTCGAGGCGACCACATCCTGCATGTGAACTCGCGCTCTCCCAGTAACACGAGCTCGCTGTAACGAGACACGGCCTGAGCCCCGCAGCCTCTCTCTCACACGTGCACTAGCACGTTCTCACATAGAGACCCTGACTAGCTTCCACCGCGTGCGCGCTCTCGTTAACATTAACATTAAGCGTTTAGATTCTCTTCATGTTCTCGTTTTTGAATGGGAATACGAATTTATTGGTGATTTTTTTTTCTTACCTATTTTCTGTAGGGAGAGGGTCTGACATCGTGAAATGATGATTCAACCTATCTCACCAATCTGGTGAACAGAACATCATATCAAAACAATTATGAATGATGTACCTGTAGAGTCGTTTCGTTACGCTGTACAGTTGGATCAAGTACATTTAATAGCAACCAAAACGAATTGATTTTATACGTGCGCTGTACGTGTCATTGTAGCGTTGTCTCACTCGGGTCGATCGAACGTCTACTTCGCAAAATGTTTACAGGATGCTTTCACGAAATGCGGTTATAACTTCAAATTAACGATAAACAAGTTATTTGTAAATAATGAGAAATCATCCCAGGATGGTTCCACCCGATGAGTGGTCCATAATCGCCTCCAGTGCACCAACTGGTCCCAGGTTTACCTACCTTAGTCTATTCTCTACGGTACGGAACCCACACCATGCAAACACGACATACTGAACTCACTCGGTGGTGAAGTAGTTAGCGGCCCTGACTGTTGCGCCCGGGGACGTGTGTTCGATTCCCACATCGGACAAACATTCGTGCGATGAACAGATTTATTTACTCTTGGTCTGGTCTTACTTTATCATCTAACTATATATAAGTATGTTATTAAATGTATATAAGTATGTATGTCAGTCTTAGCTGCACGTAACACAAGGAAACAGGTCGCGCCCGACGCTGTGTGAACTATCAAAGGGCAGTCTGTTTGAACACGAGCTGTGAGCGCTTGTTATTCCACAGCGACGAATGAGTCCGGAGGCTCCACCGGCGGCGCGGAGCCTCCCTCCGCGGCCGCCAGCCCCGACGCCGCCGCCCTGGTGGTGCTGCAGCCGCCGGCGCCGCCCTACCCGCCCTACGCGCACTACGACGGTCAGTATGAAACGGTCATTCTATCCGCGCTACACTGTGCGTCACTTACCACCTCCATTCTGAAAAGACAAATAATACAGCGCCGCTTAAACTCCAAGAACCCGCGAAGATAAATGGACCAAAGAAACTTAATCCCCGCATCCTCAGTTCACAAGTTAAGAACCAATAAAACTCGACGCACAGAAATAAGAGAATGGAAGATAAAACAAAAGTGGCCGCTCTCTCAAACACTTGAACAATCAACTAATAAAAAGTGAAAAAGCTTTCGAGCACCACCCACCGCCGCTCGCAGCCTCTCGGCGCCGCTCAGAGACACCCACAGACACCCGCAGACACCCGCGGACACCCGCAGACACTCTCGGAGAAATGTAATTTTCTCGTCGATCCGGGGTTCGCTCTACAGTTTATAACATCATAAAGTACGTTGCGGGACTCGGCGGAGCTTTAGCACTTGTGCATATCAAAGGGAGGCTCCAGTACGGCGCGGCGGAGCACCCCGCGGCACCCTGCACCACCCCGCAGCACCCCGCCGCTCGCGGACCACCGTGCCGCACCGTGCCGCTTCTATTTATGCTTTCGGTCTTTAATCTACCGCAATCTGCTTATCCCGAGCGGCTGGAGGGGATGGGGTGGAGGCAGACGTCTTTAATAGCTCATTCGGGGATCTATGCAAATAATTTGTGAGGGGTGGGGGAGGTTCGGAATCATACGGGCTTTGTCTGTGGCGAGTAACGAACCGCGACACGAGCCTGTGATGCGACAGAAGTGCTTCTGAGTACTTCAAACAGGTTTGTAGGCTTGCGAGCTTATAAATATTAAAGTGTCGGTACATTGTGACGTCGCTCCGTACAGATGTAGAGGGGCGCGGGCCGGCGGGGGGAGGGGTGTTGTTCAGTGGTTACGCGTATAAAGCTCGTTAAGTCTTGTGGGAGGGGCGCGCGTGTGATGATTACATTATCCGCGAGTCGCTCTAATCTGAGACGCACATGTTATGATCGTTCATAAACATTACGACGCCATTCCGTCGACAATATTCCCTTCTTACTTTTATAAGTAAATACACATTTTCAGTGTCTCATACAACTAAATATAGGCGCTACGCATCGTGTATAACTAATGCGGCGGCGTAACTCTTGGCAATGTTGTCGGTTGCAGGCAGCACGACGCTGGCGAGTGAGTACGCGTATGCTGCTCCATACTCACAGTACTCGCCCTACGGAGGACCGTACTCACACTCCACCGCCACGGGCCTGCTCTCCAAGTGGTGAGTCCCTTTCAGACTTACTCTCTACTACTACTACTACTACTAATGTACATAAATATTAGGGAATTACTGTAAATTTGTGAATTTGAAAAAAATAGTTTACATTTGATGTAAGCTTCGATATAGAAATAGCTGCATCGCTCTATATTTATAGAGATATTATACCTACACCTTTTTAAACTGATATTAAACTGATTTGAATAATCGATTGGACAAATTCACCACTTCTGCCAAATTTAACAAAACCAAACGCACGTAGACTGCAAGCGTACAGATGTAGAGACGGAGTAATTAAAACGAACAGACAAATAAATCAAGCGAGGAGCTCTACATCAGTCGACATTCAACAGTTAATCGTTGGCTCCTGAAGGCTTGGACCGCATCGCACATTACACGACCGCGCACCACTTACTGTCGGTCGGGCTGACGACCGCTCGCAGACTAATAGCCCCTGACGATATATAAATCTGTAACAGTTAATCACCCGCAGCTTCCGAGCGCGCGCGGCCCTCCCTAGGGAACCGTTTCACCTTCGATACCTTTTGCTTTCATTCCAAACAACAACAATTGAAAGCCTCACCACGATACTCATTCACGAGCCAGTGCAGCCTAATTATGAGATGTGATAGGTGAGCACAACTGAGCACTACTTAACATTCGGCAGTAAGTTTGAGATGTCCTATGATGTCGGCTCAGTTTTGATGAGAGTTTATAGGCGGGTCTGCCGCCAGTAGAGCGACGCACTCCATGCTGCTGTCAGTCTGTCAGGAACAAGTGTTCAGCTGCCGATATGTATCGCTATAAGTTGCAATTACTAGAAAATGCGACACAAATTCCAATAAACTTCTATGGCAATTTTAGTTGTATAATATTGTGCGGTAATAAATGGTACGAACAACGAGTGACACTGAGAATCGGATCCCACATTGATCCTGCCATCTCAGGGCGCGTGATCCCTGCACTCCCTGGAGGAGGACAAGGAGAAGGGGTACATCAAAGCGATATACTCAATCTAATGCATATCATAATAATATAGCCTTTACTCGTCGACACATACATCTGTATTTAACTAGTCTGGCCATAAATACATATGTACTTACATAAAAACTTTTCTTTTTTTCAACTTTTAAATTATTTTGAATTTGGAACACATAGGTATATTATTATAAAAACTTCTTTCGATTTTGCGCCATTTCACATATTTTTACGTGTTTATTATCAAATTACAACATGGAATGGGGTGTTAAAGAAAATATAATTGCAGTGATCGCTTTGCACAAAGTGGGTATGGAGCCGTCGGTCATATTCCAGACACTTCAAAAGCTTGGTATCAGCCATATGTTCGTATATCATACTATCAATAGATACAAAAATACTTCGTCTGTCGAAGACCAGAAAAGGTCGGGGCGGCCGCGTGCTGTTAGAACTACAAACGCTGTTAATGCTGTTAAAGCCAGAATTCGTCAAAACCCCATTAGGGAGCAAAAAATCATATCGCGAGAAATGAAGATTCCCGCTAGGACTCTATCCGTGTACAGGACATGCCTTAAATCAATCTTTACAATTAAAGAGAGTGGATCGATCAAAACGCTTTCTGTCGCGATACGCAGGAGAAAGGCACAGAAATATCCTCTTTACCGATGAAAACATTTTCACGGTTAAAGAACACTACAATAAGCCAAATGATAAAGCGTACGCTCACAGTTCTAAAGAACTTGATTAAGTGGTCGGAAAGGTACAACGTGCTCATCATCCTGTGTCAGTGATGGTTTGGTGGGGCGTGTTAAGACACAAAACTACATTTTTGTGAAAAAGGGGGGAAAACTTCAGCCATGTATATGTATACCTACAGTCTTGGATCATGTTGTGAAACTTCTCAGCAATACGCTTTTTAAAAATATACCAAACCCAATTAAACCAACGTCCGGAGGGACTTTATAAGAGCTGAATACTGGCCCTCATCTAGCCCAGACCTCAATCCTTTAGACTTCAAATTATGGTCAGTTTTAGAGGGCATGGCCTACTCTAAACGACACGGCGACATTGAGTCTCTTAAAAAACTTTGGAGCAAACGATGGCGAAATTTCTGTTGGAAATAGTGCGTAAGTCCATAGATTCGTGGAAACAGATTATAATAGGCCTGTTTAAAAGCCAAAAGTGGCCATTTCGAAAAGAATATGTTTTGCTGAAACTTTAATAAATATGTAGGTATACATTTTAATGATATTACATTACTTCATTAAAAAAAATACATTTTCATTTGTAACAGAACTTAGGTATGGCTGGACTAGGTGTACCTCTACTGACTTACGGTCATTGTAAAGGTTTCTATCTACAATAATATACCTACTGTTTATTTTCTTACAAATTTACAATTAAAAAAAAATTCAATTAACTGAATTTAAAGTTCGTTAACTACTTTTTTCTTTTTCTTTTTTTTTAATAATCTTCAGCGGAGCCCTGCTCCACGACTGCAGTGGCGAGCCATACATAGGGCTGCACTAAAAGTATCGGGAATGGAATATTTCCACTGTTCCTGTCATATTAAAATCTTTTTAATTGAAAACTCCTTGGTTTTAAAAATCGAATACCATTTATTTATTTAAAAAAAGATTCTCGGTCTTGTCACGAGGTTTTGTCAAACTTGTTTAGACGTTGAGAAAATGGAATTGACTCGGGAAAATTCAAGAGCGATGATTTATTATGACTTTCGAAGTGTTTTAACACAAAAACAGTGTGTTGACCGGATGATTTCTGCATTTGGTGATGAAGCCCCATCCAAAACCACAATTTATCGCTGGTTTGCTGAGTTTCAACGTGGACGTGTCAAGCTCAGTGATGATCCCCGTCAAGGTCGTCCAAAAACTGCTGTCACCCAAGAAAACGTTGATGCTGTGCGTAAGCTGATTGAGGAAGATCGACATGTGACATACCGCGAAATTCAGGCAACTTTAGACATTGGCATGAGTCAAATACAAACAATCTTGCATGAACAATTAGGTGTAAAAAAGTTGTTTTCCCGATGGATACCGCATTCGCTCTGTGAAGAGCAAAAAGCGGCTCGCGTTACTTGGTGCGTCAGAACTCTCGAAAGATTCCACGCAGGATCCTCAAATGCTGTATACAACATTGTATCAGGTGACGAATCCTGGATATACGCGTACGAACCCGAAACAAAAAANTACCGCATTCGCTCTGTGAAGAGCAAAAAGCGGCTCGCGTTACTTGGTGCGTCAGAACTCTCGAAAGATTCCACGCAGGATCCTCAAATGCTGTATACAACATTGTATCAGGTGACGAATCCTGGATATACGCGTACGAACCCGAAACAAAAAACCAGTCACGAGTTTGGGTGTTCGAAAATGAGTTAAAGCCAACAAAAATTGTACGTTCACGGAGGGTTGCAAAAAAAAAATGGTGGCCACGTTTGTCTCTAAAACCGGCCATGTTACGATTATTCTTCTTGAGGGCCGGTCTCAAAGAACGGTTAATGCAGAATGGTATGCTAGCATTTGTTTGCCACAGGTCGTTTCTGAACTCCGTAAAGAGAACTGCAACCGCCGCATCATCCTCCATCACGACAATGCGAGTTCTCACACCGCGCACAGAATAAAAGAGTTTTTAGAGCAAGAAAACATAGAATTATTAGACCATCCGCCGTACAGCCCCGACCTAAGCCCTAATGATTTCTATACTTTCCCTAAAATAAAGAATAAATTGCGTGGACAGAGATTTTCATCACCTGAAGAAGCTGTGGACGCCTATAAAACGGCCATTTTGGAGACCCCAACTTCCGAATGGAATGGTTGCTTCAATGATTATGATCGTATGGAAAAATGTGTCAAATTTCGCGGAGAATACTTCGAAAAGCAATAAATACATTTTTAAATAGTAATGTTGTGTCACTTCGTTAATTCCCGAAATTTTCAGTGCTTAGCACTGTTTGTAACGAAGGCATCGGCGCGCAGGCCGGGCACTCTCCACCGACGCGACTCGATTACCGAATCTCACGTCACCCCTTCACTAATGACAACAAACTATAAATTAATCTGCAAAAATAGCATCAGCAACAATAGTCGCGCACTCCCTCGGGAGGGCCCAGAGCGGAGGGCGGAGGGCGAGTCCCTCGGGGCGCGGATAACTTACAACGCGTTCAATTTAAGTGATTCCCTCCTCCAACACTTTGTCCCAATTGAAAATTGATCTTAAGTTTTACAACTGGATTGAACTGGATCAATTGATGTGTCTCCTGGGTAATTGTTCTGTATGTGGATATCTCATTGTTTGGATTGGTGAACCAAATCACGACGTACTTGGTGTTAAGTGGTTCCCGGAACCTGTAGACATCACGGGATGAATGCCACCACCTGCCACCACCTGCTCTGGGGTATGAGCTCGAAGTCTCATTGGTAACGCGCTCCGACGCGCGTGGTACACCGGTGTGCACTTGTGACTCATAATTATTGAACTCGTTTGAACACGACTCCTTGTTGGACAGATATCAGCGGAGAGCAGCGGCGGGGGCTGCCGCGGCCGACGCCTGACCGCGCGGCGGGGTGCGGGGTGCGCGGGGCGCAGGGGGGCGGTCGTCTCGTCGCTTGCCTGCAGACGCTCGGCACCTCGATCACACGGATTATACTCAATATGTTTAGTTCAATATAAGGCATGAACCAAAGTGTTGGTGAACTTTACTAAGACTAATGTAAATAATGTATTGTAAGTTTGACTGTAATGTATTGTAATGTCGACCTCACGACCTCACGGGACATTCGTCGAGCGGCGTTGCCTGCCTCGACAGACACGGTCCGCAGCGCAACCCTCCTCTTACTACTGTGTCTACACACGTTAGTGTTTGTTTGATGAGCTCTCTGTTCTCTTATGTATTGTTTGTATTGTTGTCGCACCGGGAGGGAGGTCGAGCTCACCGCCGCTCACCGCCACTCACCGCCGCTCACTGTCGCTCCCACGCCTGTACCTAACAACTAATGGGCTGTCCGAGTGAGGTTCACACGTATGTACCTACATACAGTTGTTGTACAGGTGTACATACATACGTGCTGATAATAAAGAGCCATTTAGTGATTTCATTATTCATTCATATTCTTTGATCAACAATGCTAAACTCATGATCCGCTACGACCGCCGCTCCCTCTGCGACGCGCCGTGACCCGCTGCGAGCTGAAATTACTATGAGATTATTTGTGTTTTATATTTTTATATAAATGTTTAGTTTCATATGATGGTGTATATATAGTATATAGCGGCGTCGTCCTGCATCGCTGTATGCCATAATATATTATTATACAGGTAGACATGTTCAAATACCTTTAGGATATTGTTTCATTATGTACCTATGTTAGTTGGCAATCTTATCATTTCCGTCCATTCGTTATTATTTTATTTTATGTTAATTTAATTTGAATGCACAATGTTGGTGTATATGTGTATATGTAAACTAGACGTGGACCGGACCACCCGCGAGCTTTGTACACTCTCGACTTCAATCATACAGTTTAGAGAAACGCCAAAGACATGATATTATACATAGTTGCGGCGCGGCGTCGCTCGCTCCGGACGCGCTCCGACGCTCTACTGCCCTGTTCGGACCTCGCGTGTATGTGCAGTGTCGGCAGCGCGGCCGGGTTTCTATTCGTTATCCTAGGACAGCCGCGGCTGAGCAGCAAGCCCGGCCCCGCGTGCGTCCGCCGACACTCCTCACTCACCCTCCGCACTGGCGCTGGTCTTGAGATATTTCCCAGGGGTCATGTGCCGAAATATGTTTATTTATTTACTTTTTATACCAAATTCCTTTGAATCGCGCATGTGAGAACTGGGCAGCTTCCAGATCTATAGTAGAAGGTTCAGTGGAAGGGTCCTCTCGAGACGCGACGGCCCGGGCGGACGCTCCCTGTACACTCACACGGTACACACTCGCGTGTGTCGTATCGAATCAAGGACGCATACTCGTACTGCTACTGCTACTGTTGTATTCTTTATTTAGTATTATTTATTGAGGAGTCAGGTGTCGCTGCCGGGCGCGGCCGCGGACCGACTCGATCGATTAGTGATATGTTTATGGCAGTTTAATATGAAATTATGATTCTTGTTTAATTTGTATATTCGTAAGTATATCTGTATAAGTTACGGTAAACGCACCACTACGAAATAAACGCATACGAGTTTATAGTTGAGAGTTTCATTGCGCGAGCCCGACCTACCCCTGATCCACCCCCCACCCCCCACCTCCCCAGTAATGCGATTCGGTTTGAAGGGTGGGCCAGCCGTTACAACTATGCTGAGACCTTAGAACTCATATCTCAAGATGGGTGGCGGCATTCTACATTGCAGTTGTCTATGGGCTCCGGTAATCACTTAACACCAGGCGGGTTGTGCGCTCGTCCACCCATGCCTCCCTGCCCTGATACACGTAACAGATGCTGATGGATAACGACAGTCGCGTGACGTCACAGGCCCACTGCCCCATGCCGTGGGCTGCTCAACAACTCCAGGCGCTCCGTGAGACGAGTGTATCGACACAGCTGATCACACACGAGAATACTCACAGAATCCTAACTAGGGTCTCACTGACGTCCATGTGTGTCGGTATTGTTCCCTCGCTGCGCCGCCATCTGTCCGTGACGCCTGCTGCACCGCTGCGCGTCCACCGCGCGTCACATACTTTACTTCATTAGAGTGAGTACGTACATACATATATGTAGAACCACTTCAGTTCTGTGACGAACTCTTTAAACGCAAAAATTTTAATTTAAATACAATTTTTGTTTGTCTAAAGTCATCTATCAAGGAACTGTCAATCGACAATTCTATAAAATGTCGTATAAATAAATTATGTTCTACAAGTTTAGAAACAATAAATTAGCAATATGTAGAATAATTAGCACATGAGCAGCACATGAACATTGGAGAACATGTTAAATTATACCTGAACGTTTACCCTGACGATGCCGACCAAGAATCTGAGCTTCGAAGACTGTGACACCACCAGCATATATAAAGCCGTAGAGAAAGGAACACAAACCAGCAGCACCGGTCTATCCCGGAGCTCCACACATATGGACCCTGACAAGGACAAGGACAAGGACTCCACCACCGTGTTTGAGATCTGTCACGTCGAGCAGGATCCCTACTGTNCCTGAACGTTTACCCTGACGATGCCGACCAAGAATCTGAGCTTCGAAGACTGTGACACCACCAGCATATATAAAGCCGTAGAGAAAGGAACACAAACCAGCAGCACCGGTCTATCCCGGAGCTCCACACATATGGACCCTGACAAGGACAAGGACAAGGACTCCACCACCGTGTTTGAGATCTGTCACGTCGAGCAGGATCCCTACTGTCCTAAGTCCATCACTATCGTCAAAGAAACCGTATCGCAAGAGGTTCACAAGCACGAGAACTGCGAGAGTGATAAAGAAGTGAGCGCCCACCGGTACGTGTACAAGAAGGAGGTCATCGAACCGTACCTCGAGCCCGACCCGTCGCTGGACTGCAAGACCAAGGACGAGCTGGTCGCGGCCGCGCTCCACTCGGCCGTCAAAGACTTCCCTGACTACAAACATTGCTTGCAGATGGAGGATAAAGGCTCGAAGCACAGCTGTCCCGATAAAAATAGCCCCGGGAAGGTGAACGCCGTCACCTCCATCGACCCAAGTGCCATCATCATTAGCATGATCGAAACCGGAAAAAACAAGGACAAGTCCTCTCACTCTCTTCAAGAAAAGTGCTCAAGATGTACTCCGGAGCCACCGTGCGCGAACGCCGCCCCGGTGAAGGAGCACTGTCCTCGAAGCTCAAGCGACCTTGCTCCCGGCCAAAATAATATTACGAAATCTTGCGCTGATCTCTATAAGTCAGCTGAAAACATCACCAAGTTAGTGAAGAGTTCGGTGACGAGGCTTCTGGGAACGAAGGAATGCCCGAAGCAGTCGTCTGAGTGCAAACAACAGCCTGCACCCCACGACGCCAGAGACGACTCTTGCAGCCATCAGCACGAATGTGACGACGGGTCGGCCGACGCCGAGCCGGGCCGGGGGGCCAGACTCAAGGCGGCGGTCGGGGACTTCGTGAGTAAAGTGTACCAGACCACACACGACGCGGTGACCGTCATCACCACCGAGAGCGCTAAACAAATTGAAAAATTCAGAAAATCGAAATCTGATGACTGCACTATCATCAAAGAAAGTAAGCCCGCAGAGACTAGTTCTGGCTTTAAGTTTTTCAAAAAAGCGGAGACAGAGGGCAAGAAGTGCTCAGAGAGCGGCCCAGAGAGCGGCCCCGAGGGCGGCGAGGTCTGTGCGAAGCTCGTCGACAAGGTGGGCTCCAGCGTCTCTATGATGAGTTCTCTGCTGAGAGGTCGCAGCTCCCCTCACGACGTGCCCACGCCGCCCCGGGACGTCTCGCACGAGCTGAGGCCGGACGTGATGCCCGCGTCGGGAAGTGTGTTCGCGACCATCAAGTCTACATTGTTTTCGATGTTCTATGACATCGTGTCCTCTAACGGCCCTCCCTCGAGAGGTTCTCTCTCCAGTACGTCGTTAGAGACCTCAGACACCGAGGATGATGCAGGCTTCATGAACAGGTTTATCGATTAGCAAGAAATAAAGAAAATAAATATATCTATAAAATCTGCAATTGTAGTTTATTTGAAGTTCAATACAGTCCTCCATACAATTGTTTCTTTAGTTATAATCTATTGAACACCTACGAGAGCTGTGACGTGCATCCTCGTCTGTACGTCGAAGGTTCTCCTGTAAGAATTCGAGGTGAGACCCATAGCAACATCACGTTGTGTTTCTTGATGCATCTCAGCGAGTTGTGGCTCTGGTCCATTGGACAATAACTTTTGTAAACTACAACATTGCAGCAGTAAGCGTTACTGCTATACTGTCCCGAACAACATCCGTCCATAGATTTTACGCGGCTTTCAGAATAATTTGTAGTCGTCGTGGCCTAAAGGATAAGACGTCCGGTGCGTTCGTATGTAGCGGTGCACCGGTGTTCGAATCCCGCAGGCGGGTAACAATTTTTCTAATGAAATACGTACTTAACACATGTTCACGATTGACTAACACGGTAAAGGAATAACATCGCGTAATAAAAATCAAACCCGCAAAATTATAATTTGCGTAATTACTGGTGGTAGGGCCTCTTGTGAGTCCGCACGGGTAGGTACCACCGCCCCGCCTATTTCTGCCGTGAAGCAGTAATGCGTTTCGGTTTGAAGGGTGGGGCAGCCGTTGTAACTATACTGAGACCTTAGAACTTATATCTCAAGGTGGTTGGCGCATTTACGTTGTAGATGTCTATGGGCTCCAGTAACCACTTAACACCAGGTGGGCTGTGAACATTTTTTTTTTTTTCGGGCCGGTGGCCTATCCTCCTACGAGGTCCCCGCGCCTAGGGGGCGCGCGGGGTATGTGAGACACAACGATCTGCAGGTGTTGAGAGCAGATCGCGGTCCCAAGGATTTTAGGGCCCACCCACTAAACGACTCCCCTGCACTCTTACACCCGACGTCCGATCTCCGTCCGGGGTCAGAACCCGTTCAGAGTAGGGGGGTTCCCGCGGTCAACACTACAACCAGACACGCGGCGCCACCCCGAGGACGCCCGACNCGACGTCCGATCTCCGTCCGGGGTCAGAACCCGTTCAGAGTAGGGGGGTTCCCGCGGTCAACACTACAACCAGACACGCGGCGCCACCCCGAGGACGCCCGACCGACGGGTCGTCGAGGCGATAGTCGACGACCAACGACGTCGGTCTCCGCGGTACGGCGGCCCTACCAGGCCGCCCGGGCGGTGCCGCTGGTGTTCCGGGATACCCCACTGGGCCAGAACCAGCCTGCCGGGTCGGAATGCGATACACCGCCGACCGGGTTGCTCTTCAACAGTATGTCAGGGACGACAGCGACGACGAAAATGCGGACCGCATCGCAGTCCGCAGCCGCCGACGCGCCGTCCCGTCCTCCTGGTGCCAGCGCGCTAGAGTGACGGTAGCGTGCGGCGCAGCCTCAACCCCCTTAGGTCGCCCCGTGACCATCACCGGGAGGAGACTGCCTCCTCATAGGGGCCGGAGCTGGACAAACGCCCTCCTCCGACCCCCGGCTCGACGGCGGTGGCACGGCGCCGAGAGGGAAGAAGAGCTCTCCCTCTCCCGTTTCGCCGCCTCCTTCTGCGAGATGGTGGACTCGCAAAAGTCGAGCATCGCCTGCCAGGACTCGTTGCTGCCGAGCATCGTAGCCACGACGGTCGGAAGCGACAAGTCCGGTCCTATTTTTGCAACGAGGACGCGGCGCTGCTCCGCGAAAGCGGGGCAGTACGCGAGCGTGTGCTCCGCCGTGTCCTCGTTGCAGCCACTGCAGTGGTGGCACTTCGGCGTTGGCTTCCTCCGGGCGACGAGGTGCAGGTAGCGACCGAAACAGCCGTGTCCCGTGAGCACCTGCGTCGCTCGGAAGGTGAGACGTCCTCGGTCGCGATTCACCCAGTCCGAGAGGACCGGGCGAATCGCCTCGACGGTCCGTCGCCCGTAGGCGGGGTCCGCCAGGCGGCGAGACCACGCCTCGAGCACGGCACGCCGAGATTGAAGCTTCGGGCTGTGAGCTCGTCCATCCCTCTAAATAAAAAAACTTAAAAAGTGGTGTCGTGGGACACCAGGTAGGAACGTAGTTCCTTCGGATAATGTAGAATCGACACAATTTGCAAAAAAAAATCGTGCTCAATTTTATGTTGGTTTTCTTGATTTTTCTCTTAAATTTTGCTGATTAGTTTTTATTAAGTACAGGAAAGTATTTAGGAAATTCAGTATTTTAGGAAATAATAAATTACGTAAAATAAAAATAAAATCGTAATTCAAATTATCAATTAAAATAACAAAATATGTCTCTTTATTTTTGTTTGACAACATAAAATTACATAGGAATAAAATAATTACAAAATAGAGAGAGAAGGGATGAGAGAACGAAAAAAAAGAGGGAGAAAGAGGAAGGTATTATACACTACTCGCTTGTGTATGCGACTGTCGCGCCTGCGCACGTCTCATTTAACGGTTTTATTCCACGCACTTTTTTCCACGGATTTTTTCCACGCACTTTTTTCCACGGATTTTTTCTTACGGTTTTACTATCATATTTTTTTCAGTTCGGTCGCGCAGCAAAATCCCTATCCCCTCGAAGCCTGCCGTAAGGAACTTCGTTCCAATAAAAAAAAAATAGCCGTCATAACCGTCTGGAACACTGTGCAGAACAGGACGAGCCTTATTTTCTTTTAGACTTTTATACTATCAGACTTCAAAATTTAATTCTGTAGTTTTAAAATTAAACATAATTCAGTTCAGAATGTACTTATTTCAGCGTTACATAAATTCCGTTTCAAATGGTAAGTATTGGAAGAAGGCCGCTTCACAAATGAAGGACCTTTTATTTGAATACTATGTAGTTACACGCTGGGACTCAATATAAATAAACGTTTCCATCGAAAACTCAAGATTTTACTGCACTAAACATTGATATATAAACACCCAAGATGCACGGTCTCGTACAAAAGTAGCGCTCGAAACTGTCCCCAAACACACCAGTGATATCTACGTACTTATACTTATACTATAAACATATCTTTTGCAAATTCAACCTTACGCGCATTGTTTAAAGTTGTTAATACAAAGCAGTGTACAATAACCAGTCAAATTTTACGACCGAAGTTAGCCGGCAGGACAGGACATGGAGTGGAGACAAATATTTGTTTTTTTTTATTTTTTTATTATTATTATAAGACATTGAATTAGTATTTTAAGAGTTAGTTAAATTGTGTTATATACACATAACTATACTTTTATCTGAGCGTAAGTATATTTTTGGGTAGGACATGTGTACAGCAATCTTTAAATCTTTTCTTTAAAAAATCAAAATCGAATTAACTTCTTCTTAAAATAAAAATAAAAGTCATAAAAAACTGGGCAGTCATGAAGACTGTGGACAGAAGTGAAATTTTAAAGTTTTTAATAACGTGACGTGTTGGGCCAGATGGACACTTCTGTCATTAGCATGCAGTATGTCGCGAAGCCATAAGTTGTCTCTTAAGTAATCGATATAATAATATCAATTTTACGAACTTTAAAAACAACGTCGTATAGACGACCTCTTTTCCTTCTGGAATTCGATTAAGAACTATATTATTATTATATATTTTCTATCGTATGAATACTTATTCNACCTAACACCTACATACTTCTTCAAAAAGCTGCTATATTAAACACGTGCAGAATTGTACGAAAGTTTCTGCAAATAGAATATGATCAACCACATAATGCAATAGTTAGCCAACCCCAAGAAACCGTGACATTTACTTGACCGAGTCCGTAAATGTCACTAAAGTACTACCAGCATAAGCTGAGAAAATAAAAATTTAAAAAAAACAATAATAATAATAATAATAATAATAATATAGCCTTTTATTCAGATCTCTTAGTACAATGAATTTTTAAACTTATGTAAAATTTAGCATTAAAATCTAAAACTTAATAGATATGAATAATTTTAAACTAATATTTGTTGTTTGGTTATCTTTCCTAGAACTGTTTGCCAGTCGGCAAAGGCCTCCTCCAACCTTTTCCATTCCTTTCTTTCTTGAGCCACTCTGTTCCATGTGACTCCTGCCACTTGTCTAACGTCATCGTCCCACCTTTTCTGTGGTCGGCCTCTTTTTCTTTTGCCTTCCTTTGGGTACCACCATGTCACCCTTTTGCTCCATTTGTCGTGTCCCCTTACCAGGTGACCAGCCCATCGCCATTTGAGTCTTTTGATTTTGCTTATTATATCGGTAGTTTTTGTTTTGATTCTAATGACGATTTTTTTTACTCTGTCGGACTTTTTAATGTTTAGCATACTCCTTTCCATTGCATACTGGCAAGTTGCTAGTTTGTTTGAGGTGACCTGATTTAAGGACCATGACTGACACCCGTATGTAAGGACAGGTAGTACGCAGGTGTCAAAAAGTTTGCTTTTTAGGTTTATATGGAGCTTTTTATCTTTCATAGCCTCTCTTAGACTCCAGTATGTCTTCCAGCCATTTGTAATTCTTCTGTCCACTTCCTTCTGCATAGGATCTTTTTGAGTTATGAGCTGCCCTAGATATACGTACTCGTCGGTATAGTTGATTTCAGTGTTTCCTAGATCTATAATATGTTTGTACCCGTTTGTCCCCTAGTTTTTTCCGGATTCATTGCCAGCCCTACTCTCTCACTTTCTTTCGCAAGTTCTTTTATCATTCTGGTTAACTCTTCTGCTGTTTTTGCCAATAACACTATGTCATCAGCAAATCTTAAGTGTGATAGCAGTTGACCGTCTATATTAATTCCAAGATGTTCCCAATTGAGTCTTCGGAAGATTGATTCTAATACTGCGGAGAATAATTTCGGAGATAGAGGGTCTCCCTGCCTTACGCCTTTTTCTACTCTGAAAGGAGTACTTTTCTTTTCTAGTTGGATTCTTGCTCTGCTGCAGCTATATATATTTCTTATTAATCGAATGTACTTGTGCTCAATTCCTTGTTCTAATAGCGCCTCCCATATTTTGTCATGACGTAGAGAATCGAATGCT